CTGTTTTTGACTCCTTTGAAGCTCAGGATTCTAGTTCAAACAGTTGCCTGGCCTGACTCAGGCCTGTGAAGAACCAGTGGCCAAGGGAAGGAACCCTAAAGTTCACATAACCCTTGGATCATTAAATCATTCCAGTACTTACTGCCAGATTCACTTCATTTATTCTAACTTCCAGCTAGACACAAAGTCAATTAGCAAAATTTCTCAGGAGAAATACCTACACCTATATCTCTGCCAGTTTAATCTTGCATAAGCCTAACCTTCACCCCCAACCCCATTCCCCAAATTCAAGTAGAATGAGCAAACTTATTTATTTGGATTTAATTAGAGTTGACATTTCTCAGCAGCTCACAGTTAAACATCTTCCAACTTAAATATTCTATTACTTTTGGCCAACTTCAAAATACTCTTCAGTGCTGCTACTCCTGTTCCAACATTGCTAACAATGCCTGAGCTATTTAACATTCTCCTTGCAACCTACTTCTCTATTACTGCTTCCACTCTTTCAATAACTTATCCAGCAATTATTTCTGCCCAAATGTGCTCATCTTTCTCCCCTGCATTAGTTTCCCTTTTCCTTCAGGGAATCTTGGTAACAGCAGCCTCTCTTGGTACAAGGATACCTCGTACATTCATATTCTTCCCTGTATAACTCTTGTGATGAAAGCCTATCCCTAAGGCATTAAGTGGGTTACACTGTACCAGGCCAACACACTTGTCTGCTCTGCTGAGAATGAAAACAAAAACAAAACACAGAGGAGAATGAACAGTATTACGCACAGAAGAGAATGAACACTATTAAAAAAAAAAAAAAACAAACGACAAACCCTAAGGACTTCTTACAAGCCTTTTTGCTGGGAAGTTTTTAGTCATTGTGAAACATTTATGTAACATACCAATCCTAAGGAGCTGGAAGATCTGTTTCCCATAATTTATTACCAAACTGACACAAAATAAAACAAAGCTTGAAATCTAAATATCTTATTTGACCCTCTGCAAATTTTTTTCCCACATATTTTCAGTTTGAGGAAACTGATGATGTTTGAGCACTCCAAAGCAAAACAAGGAGTGCTAGAACAGGGTTTTGTTTTTTTTTTTTGTTTTGTTTTTTAATACACACTGTTTCTTTTTAATTTTATGGAAAAGCCTTACTAAAATTAGGGCAGCAAAGATAGCTCTATACAACCTGAATGAAGACAGAGAAAGTAACAGTTAATCATAAATTTGGTGTTGGTATGAAACATAGATATAGCTGTACCATCCTTTGGTTAAGTTTCTCTGAAAATAAAAGTGCTAAGAAAAAAAGGTTTTGGATTTATTTTGGGTATGTCTGCTCTCCCTCCAGTCTGCCATTAGAGCTTGTTACCTTCAAAGCTACTAAAAGTCATGGAAAAACACTTTGAAAAAACAGAAAACAATCCCAAAAACTCCTAGTCACACACAGCCACCCTTGCTCTAAAAAAAGCAAGCACTGACAACTCCAGTGTTGCACAACACTTTAAAAGTAAAGACAAATAAAACCCACATGCTTATTTAGTGCAGCTGTAAATTATTGTGGACAAGAAGGAAAACAACACATAGGATGGGAGGCTGCATGACAGTTACCTGCAGACAAGCATTTCAATTCCTGAACAAAACTTAGCCAGGAAGTTCCCTACTTGACTGTCCCACCCCAGTTAATAAAACTTAAATGTTCTCTATATATCTAGTTACAGGTAATCTTGTTATAAAGTCCACTAATGGAGGTTTTAAAACTGTTTTTCTTGCACCATTCTGTTATCCACTCAGTTGTTTTGTACAAGTTATATGTAACACGGATTTACTTACACCGAGAGCAGCCCATTAAGCACCCAGACGTAAGCGATTGCCAGTTCTGGCCCATCCCTATCCCTGCCCTCCCCAGCCATGGCCACACCTGAGCCCGCAGAGCCACCTGCCGCCACTGGGAACTCCCCTGGCCCTGCAGAGGGGCTGGGCCGAGTCACTGCTTCAATAAAGAAGAACTGAAACCCAAAGGCGCGCTGAGCAGGCGGCCCCTCTCCAGAACAGAGTCCATTAGGTTGGAAGGGACCTCCGAGACCAACCTCTGGCCGAACAGCACCCTGTGAACCAGCCCACGGCACTGAGCGCCACGTCCAGCCTGTCCTTAAACGCCTCCAGGGACGGTGACTCCACCGCCTCCCTGCGCAGCCCGCTCCGAGCACACAGCAGCGAGAAAAAGGAGCTACAAGGAGCTGTAATACTTCTGCTCCCAATCTGAAACGTGTTGAGGACACCGGCAGGAAGCTGAGTTGCACCCTGGCAGACCAGAGAACTCTCTCAGACGTGAGGAAGCACAGCGAGGTCGGCGACCGGCCAGGCGCCGGCTGAAGCCGCTTCCCAAAGGAGCCGCCGCCTGCCCCGGAGTCACGGGATCGCGGATCACGCCACATTCCCCGCCACCCGCACCGGTTCTGGGGAGCGCCCGGGGCCCTCTCCCACCGCGGGCCCGGCCAGGGCTGCCCTCCCGCTCCCTGGAGGCTGCGCCAGGGAACACCGGGGAGCGCGCCTGGCATATCGGACAGCGGCGGGGGAGAGAGCGGGGAACGCGGCAACAAGGGAAAGAAAAAATAACGCAACCTGACTCGGCTCCAGACCTCGGGAAGGGAGCTGCCGCCGCTCCCGGGCGCGCTGGGGAGGCCGATCCCTGCCCGCGGGAAGGGGCTGTGCCCGCTCCTGCCGCGGCTCCCGGTCCCGGGCTGCGCCACCGCCACCGGGCGCTGCGGAAGGAACGAACATGGCGGACGGGCCGGGGGCGGGATCCGGCACCACGTGACACGGCCCCGCCCACCGGGCAGAGGCCCCGCCCCGACGGGAAAGCGGAGAGCCGCTCAGCGGGGAGCTGAGGGAAGGTGAGGGGATGGGAACAGCGGGAACAGGGGAAACAGCGGGAACAGGGGGAAACAACGGGAACGGGGGGAAAACAACGGGAACGGGGGGAAACAACGGGAACAGGGGGAAAACAACGGGAACAACGGGAACTATCGTGCCCACCGCCAGAACAGGGCCGGAAAGGCCCATCCAGGGCCATCTCTCATGGATCACTATCGTGCGCCGTCTGAGAATGATAACACTGGAAAAGATAACACTTTCACATTGTTGTAGAATGCCCTGCATTATTAAGCTCGAAAATAAAGTATTTATAAAGTATTTGCCGGACAGTTATTTATTAAAGGCAGTAGTGTCACTCTGCTCTACTCTAAGGGCCCCAGGTATGCAAACCCAAAATTGTAAGGCAGCTTGTCGTGGTTTTTAATGACACAGCTTCACTTTACAAGTAGAAACATTTAAATCTGTGCACGTGCCAATGAAGGAATTCAGCGAAATACAAAGCACACTATCTTAAAAAAGTAGGTAGGCACTTTCTGTTCCTGTAGTAATTCAGAATAACACCAACATGACTGTTTAAACAAGATCACAGGGAAAAAAGCTGAAGGAAACAGTGACAAGAGTATTTTCTGTGCTCTTACAACCTCCCCATGAGGGCAAAATATAATTAAAATGAAAAAAAACCCAAGAAATTAAAGAGGTTCCTACACCATCAGGAGGAACAGGTGATGACAAGCGTAAGTACACCCATTTGCTCAAGCAGTCATCACATGCTTCTGATCATAAGGCAGATGCAATCAGACTGGAATTGCCACTTGTAGAGTTGTCTTGTTTTGGATCAGACATCAACATAGCCCAAGGAATGGGAAACAAGATCTCAGTATTATCAAAAGGAGATGGCTCCTACTGACAGCAACAGGATTATTAAAAGGTAGGCCATGCTAGAGGCAAATCTTATGATACCAGACCCATTTTTATCTAACAAAGCTACACTTCAAACATTTTTAAGTGCTTTTTTCCTGGAATCTGCTTTCATCCAATTCTAAAATGAAATGCAAGTGCTGTAGTGGTAGGAAAGTTGACTTTAAATTATGGTAATTCTAAGGTATATAAGTTCTGATCAGTTATGGCATTATTTTATGATTTATAAAGAAGAAAAAGCTGCATTTAGAAGTGAAGGAAATAATTACTCTGTTTTGCACTTAATACATTTTGGAGAGAAGCTATTATGTTTTTGTTTTGAAACAACACTGGATTTTGTTTTGAAACACATTGGATACATGTGAGGAAATTTAGAATTACAGGATAGTTTGGCTTGGAAGGGACCTTTAAACATCATCTAGTGCAATCACCCTGCAATGACTAGGGACATCTTCAACCAGATCAGATTGCTCAGAGCCCTGCCACCATCAGTTTTGGCAACCTGTTACAAGGTTTCATCACCCTCGTATAAAAACTAATTGCTAGCCTGAATATAGGCAGTCTGTCCAGTCTGGATCTATGCTCCTTTCTCATTCTACTGGAACAGGCTCTGCTAAAAAGTCTGTCCCCATATTTCATATAAGCCCCTTTTTAGGTCCTGGAAGGCTTCAATGAGTCTTCTCCAGGCTGAACCACCCTAGCTGTCTAATTTTTTCCCTATAGAAGAGGTACTCCAGGTCTCTGATCATCTTGGTGGCCTCCTCTGGACCTGCTCCAACAGGTCCATGTACTTCCTGTGCTGGAGACCCCAGAGGGATGGATGCAGGACTGCAGGTGGAGTTTCATGAGCACAAAGTAGAAGAGCAGAACCACGTCCCTCAACCTGCTGCCCACGCAGGTTTTAATTCTTCCTGGGCTGCAAGTTCACATTGCCAGCTCATGTCCAGCCCCTCATCCACCAGCAGCCCCAAGTCCTTCTCCTCAGGGCTGTTCTCAATCCATTCAGCTCCCAGCCTGTATTGACACCAGGGGTTGCCCTGACCCAGGTACACCATCTTGTACTTGGTCTCATTAATTCTCATGAGGATCCACTTGGACCCAGTTCTTCAGCTTGTCTAGATACCTCATTTTTTCAAGTTCTTTTTAGAAACAAAATTATTGAACTTCTCAGATAAGATGTATTTTTATTTCCTTTACATGGGAACAGATAAGAAAATAGAAAAGAACCCATGGTATAACCATGGCTACTAGGCTTATGATTTTATAGGCATAACGGAGCATCATAGGGTTAGGGTTAGGGTTAATACACATGCATGAGTGCTTGAGGATCAGGAAGTGAAGGCCCTTTTCCCTGTGTCCATTCCGTTACATACCATGTATGTAACAAACCCAGCAGCTGCTACAGAACACCACAAATTGTAGAACAAATAATGCCTCGATAAGGCTGGTCACATGAAGCACACCTGCCCATCCTGAGGTCAGACAGAAGAACATGCCCAGCTAGGAAGCAGTTTGAAACAAGTGCACCAAAATCACTCCTGTTTAAATTCTGCTATAGGGCTGTCCCTGTCCAAGGCCCTGTTTGACCATCCCAGTGGGGGGAGTAGGGCTGGGGCAGTGCTGGTGGGGGCAGCTGCTTCAGATTCCCATGGTCAGCAAGAGCCCCATTTTGGCTCAGACACTGTACAAGCCCATTCCTGCACCCCACCTTGTGCACCAGTCTCCATCAGACAGCACGTCCCCACACCTGCCCAGTTCTCACTGGAGTTTTGGCAGATTATTGTCCAGACCTGCCTTGCTCTTGTTTGGGTGCTGCCGGACAGTGACCCTTTTAACTGAAGCCACTGTCCCTGCATGCCTTGTCACCCACCATCCACCCCTGGCTTGCCTCCCTCTGTGCAGCAACCCAGCCTTGCTGCACCCTCACATGCACATTTTCATCAGAAAGCTGACTCTGCACCTTAAGAATTTTGTTCACAAAGGTGTATTCATGAAGTGTTGTTATGCCATGCCAGAGAGAATAGCACAAAAAACATCCAATGGCAAATAAAGGGCAATTTTTTCGTGTGAGTAGAGGGAAATTCTGTATCAGCAAAGTTCTCTTATAATAAGAGCTTGTGAATAATACTTTTTACCATCTATAGCTGGCAAGTAGACTATGTCCCATCCTGGCAAGAGATGACATAGTCTCAGTAAAACATGACTTTGTCACCTCTTGGCTGAATTACAGCAGTACAAAATAAGGGGATATGAAGTCATCTGCCTTTATAGCTCTGTTAATACCAGAATGCAGCAAGTCAGCTCCTGAGCAATCCAAGAAATTATCAAAGTGCTCTTGTTTCTTTCCTTATCTTCCAGGTAGTCAGTGAATTAGGCCATTACACCCTGCAGATTCCCTGAAGGACTGTAATTCAACATATTTGCTCCTTAACCACAGTCTGTTACCAGCTAACTTTCCTCCTTGGCACAATAAAAGGGCTGGTTTTTTGTTTAAAGAGTTGCAGTTCTTTGCTTTAGTAGCAAATGTAGATAGCACAGCAGACGGACACTTTAAATGATAAATAAACAGTGCTAATTTCCTTTTCATTTTGAAAAGAAGAAAGCGTTATAAACAACAATTGACAGCTGAGTCCCTCCCTAAAAAGTGCACAGTAAGAGGGATATGACAGAGATGGAAAAGGCACTTGACAGAACAGATGGAAGTGGATTTGGCAGGGGATCTCTAGGAACCAGAAGGAGTTTGGTTACTGGTGTTAAGGGAGCAACATTGCCTACAGTTAATAGAACACTTCAGATATGGAATAGTATATTTGTTTTTACATAGAAAATTGTGTGAAGTTCATTGTTAAGTCAGCTCTCATCTTCATGACACATATATCACAAGTTCTGCAGCTACAGGCTGCTTGATCTTTGAGGGCAATTTATGTTTAAGACCTTATTGCTGCTGTTAAATCACAGTATTCAAGGAGAAATTTACAGCATTTCTGGAAAACCCCATGGAGACAAATACAGACTTTAGCCTTGTTCAGCATGTTTGTCCTCTGTTTGTGGGGATCATCACTAATGACATACTCCTTGTAGGAGTAGCAGCAAGTAAACCACACCCAAATGAACTGTCTCTGCTTAAAATAGTTCAGAAATCTTTTTCTCACCTGGAATGAATTGAATAAAAAATACTTCAACAATATCAAAGAATCTCACTTTTCAAAGTTTTCTTTTGTTTCTGGACTCTACTCCCTGTACTCCAGTGATCTACACCCTCCTGCTGCTGTACACACTATGTAGTTGCAAGTTGGCTTTTTAAAGAGATTTTGAGACAAGGCATATATTCTTAGCCAGTCAAATATTTTAAGCCTGCAGTTACACATTTAGTGATGGGCAGTTCAAAAGAAAATGATGTTACATATTACATCACAAATATAGTCAGTGTTACAGATACAAATTTTATCCTTGAAATATATTCTGTCCATATATATTCCATGCCTTGTAATATTTCCCTTTGCCAAGATAAAACTTGGATGATCTCTGCATTACTGGAATGGCTTCAAAACCAACTTCAGGCAGAAATTATTTATAAGTTGTCCACAGCTAAAATAAAGTCTTCTGCTGCATGGTGTTCTGACACAGCACAATGCTGGCATAAAGCTCTCCTCAACAGGACCATGACCTTCAAAATGACTGCACACAATCCTGTGCTTGCTGTGATCCACTAACACAGGAGTGTTTGCTCTCCTGAAGTTTCACTGAAAGCTAACAATAATACACAAATAATTACACAAAAATACCGCCACGTAAGCAGGACTACTTGTAAGTATCAATTCCAGCACACAAGTAAGGGCTGGGAAGGAAGGCCAGATAGCAACTCCTTGGTTACAGAGTTGAACACTGGGGGTCTGGCCTAAAGCTTTAATGTGTATTTTACATCAGTGCAATTCCCCTAAAACACATATTTTTACATGATAAAAATGTAAGTAATGCTGTTGAAAGGTAATTGTTAACCCTTCATTGAATGGAAAGATTTCTCCTCTTTTTTTTTCCCAGTAGAATATTTTAAGTGTCTCTTTGCAATTTCAGGTTACACATAATATTCCCCATATATAGATAAAAGCTTGTCTTTCAGTCCTGGCTGACATTTAGTTCACCTACACCTGTTTTCTCATCTCATGCCCTCAACTCCTTTCTCTGAGAGGTCATGCAGCTCAGCCCAGAGGAACTGACCAGCCTCAGCTGTGTCTCAGTCAGGTGGGTGCAGAACTGTCCTCAATTCCTCCAGCAAATACCCTGCAGGTTTCTCTGCTCTGCTGATACATTTTAACCTTGAAATGCTAAATGCCTGTTGTGCATTTGTAAAAGATACAGGTCTCTTACTTTTACAGCTCCCTTAGTGGGAATATTTTTTTTTTAAATAAATACTTCTGGTAAACAATCAGTGAAAATCCTGTTGACTCTGGAACAAAAATATGGATAAAAACTTCTGCCATTGGATTTCCTTCTATTCATTATTTGTGGGTAATGTGCACTATATAAAAATATTAATTTTCTCAGTTCAGGACAGATGTCCTAGTTCCAGAGAGGATATCCACTCAAGAAAGTTATTAACTCCTATTAATTTTATTTATTACATGTAAGATTCATTCAAGCCATCTTTAAAAATACATTAGCAGTTTTCTGATTTTGCAGTTTTTAGTGGCAGCACCCACATAGTATCAGCAGAGAATTTAAAATTCCAGTTTCAACAGAGGTACATTCTCATACATGTTTCCAAGCCCCTTATGAAAGAGGGATAGCATTACAAACATATCCATCTGCTGTGATACCACTGTTCCCCACATTCATTACAAATAACGTAAGTCAACATTTGTTCATCTGGATTTGCGCTTCGCACCCAAGCTGGAAGAAAGAGAGTTCCTCTGGCAATCATAGTGACAGTGCAATCAAATTTTTCACAACGTCTGCACTTTACTTTGTTTGTCTGTGTGCCATTAATAACCTGTGGAAGCTGATGTTCCTGAACAGATGATTTTGTGTACGCAGCCCTGAGCTGTTTCAGTTCATCACTGGCCATTTCCATCACTGTCATCTCAGCAAAAGCCTTTGGGCTCAAAGTTCCTGAAAAAAGGTTATGTTTTAGGTGGCAATTTTTAGGGTTCTTAAGGTTTGAGATTTTACTTCTGATGCAATTTTTGTACTTTTTATCATTTTTAGCATGAAGAGTAAAAATATGTTCTTCAATCTCTTTAGCTAACTCTAGCCATTTTACAGTTTCTTCTTCATTTTTGCCAGAACCAATCAAAGCTTTACAAAGAAGATCTACACATTTACACCTCAGAGCTCTCATCAGATCCTGCTGCAGACTTGCTTTGCTAACAACAGATTTAGAATCTTCATGAACTGTGTGTTGCTCCTCAAAAGAAGAATGCTGATTCATACTGCTTTGTGCGTTATTACATACCATATTTTTAACAGTTTGTGATGGGACCAAAATGTTGGAACCAGTACCATCTAATGCCTCCTGCTGACATGGTCCTTCAGACAGTGACTGCTCTCTAGGAACTACACTGAGATACTCAATTTCTTCTTTCACATCCACAGGATCTGACTTTTTAACTTGCATTGACTGAGCACAGTTATTCTTGTAAAGTGCTTTCCACCTTGACAATAACTGCTTTGCTTTCTTTTTCAACTTGCCAGAAGGGCAACTCTTGAGTACTCTATATACAGCCTTGGTAACTTCTGTCCCCTGAAGATCTTCTACAGTCATATCAACATCTTCAAGTTCTTTAAGATGATCCTCAATATCTTGCAAATTGTTCTCAGACAGCAGTTTTTCAATACAATGGGTTCTGTGTACAATATTTTTTGGATCAGACATTTTTAAACCTGGAAACAAAAAAAAAAAGATCATCACCTTTCCTTCAGTTATGACATTAATTTATCTTCTGTACATTCACAAAAGGTTTTATTTTCATTTTATGCTATTTTACACTATTTTATTTGTATATATCACTGGGTTTCCCACCATTTTCTTGAAATAGTGTACAGAAGTCCAAAACACCATTCTGGTTCCTACGTGACTGTCAACTTTTCACTTGCTATACAAGAGATCATGCTACATCTCTTTCAAAAGTTCCTCCTTATAGCTATCAGAGAAGCAAATCAGAGTCATGACTTTTACCTGAGGTCCCACTGCTGCCCCTTCCCTTGCTAGTTCTTGTACCATATTACAGATGAATTATCAAGATGGAACAGCTCAAAAACAGTGACACCTGCGAAACAGTTTCAAAATGCTGACATCTACTAATTTTGAAAATTCTTAAAGGTTAAAGACAGATCCCTCTATATTTTCTTGCAGCTGTAGCATTATTAAAGCATGCTCCCATATATTCTGAGGCATAAAGGAAAATCAAAGGGGGCCTTCAGAATGCAGAATCTCATGGTTTCAATAGTATTTCCTTTTGATTTCTTTTCATCAAGCCCTTTGATCAAAAAATTTTCAGCGCATTGCTACTGCAAGTTGGCATGCAAAAAAATTTTTATATTCCTAACATTATTATTCTTGCTGAAAAGAAGAATTAAATGTAGAATGCAGAAATGAATGGTGTGTTGTAAGTGTTGTGTTCTTTTTTTTCTGCAGTTAGCCTTCTAAGTTCATGCATGAAATCAGTGTTTTGTCTGAAATTGCATCCATTGTGATTCTACTCCAGAAAAATCATCTGCCTGACAGAGACAAGGCTTGCTACACGCATCCATATGGGAAGGAGCTCATATGCCTGTTTCTTGCAGCATCATTGTTTCCATGATGAAAACTCCTGAGAACAGGAGTAGGGAAGGGACAAGAGACACAGCTTGGTTTTTTGCACACTCTGTTGTTTCTATGACCACCAGCAGCTAACTTGTCTTTTGCATGACAGAAACAAATTCAAACTTTAGGTAGGACCTCAGAGCTCCACAAAAGAAAATGACAAAGAGGATAAGACTTCACTTTTTTTCTACAGAAACAGAACCAATCCATCATCCACAGGAAATGTTCTCAGCATTCCCTTAAGATGTATTTAAACACTCTTGTCTTATGTTTTGAAGTCCCACAAAACCTCAATAATGGCAATTACAGAAACTGATTTATTACACACGAAGTTTCAAACTCAGAGAAACAGGATGCAGTTTTCACATATTTAAGTTGAGCCCTCTGCATCATCAAACTAACAAGAACATGTGAGTGAATCAACTCCTCTGTTCTGCTACAGGAACACAGAGGCTGTGAACAGAAAGGAGAGCATTGTCATGTAGGAGATCCCTCACAAAGCAAGAACAGTTCCTTGTCTCCAGAATACCAAGAAGTTGACATTAGAAAATTATTATCTGCTGATTTACTGTTTCCCATGCAATCCAGGGAAGAGTTGGTGACAGTAATATGTTAACCCAGTATGAATCCCCTATGCATTAGAATCAGTTCTGCTTTTCCAGCATACTCCACACTTTCTTCAGACCTTGTGTCTATCCATGTATATGTTGCATTATGCTTACAAACCATAAAATAGACTATCTAAATGCAAGATTAAACAAAAAATTCTCAATATTTATATATATATATATATATATATATAAATATATAGGACTATGGGCACATGAAGAAATTATCACACACAAGCTTTGCTGATAATTTGTCAGTGCATATATTTCTACCCTGTGGCAAAGGTGAGATATTTGCATCTTTCATTGAGGACTATGTGTCATTGAAAGCTTCCTCTCCAATACTGCAGGGTGATCTGTATGTAAGAAGTCTGTATGCAAGATCCATATGCACAGTCTGTGGCTATCATCTACTTCATGGTAGTGGTCCTTACTCATCATTATCAACCTGACCCTACACAGCCCCCCAGCATGGCAAGGCTCTACTTTAGGACTCTTACACTATGGCAATAAATTAGTTATTAGAAATTTAAAACTTTCTTACTCCTGCACTGACTTTTTCAAATTCACACAACAGTAAATTCAAGTTTGTAAATGTTTTGGCAGCAGTTAAATAAACAAACTGAAATCATAATATGGACACCAAATTATAAACAATTATTTTAAAATAATTTTGGAAATTAAACTACCTAATAGACTACTAATATTTAAGTCAAAAAAATCATTTCTAAGGAAATGCTTTTCTCAAAATGTATGAATTATAGCAAAGAGGTAGGATGGAGTGACTCCCTTCAAATGCAATAAGCAAAGTTAGGTAAAAGTAACAGAAAAAGTAATTAAATATTTTAATGGGGATGGATATTCATTGGTAATTGGGAGAAGCATAAGAAACAGCAGAAAAAAACACTGAATAAAGGTAATAATCAGTGACATCAGAGAGGTCTCTGCAGGGAAAATATTCTTGAAATGGTCCTGGCTTTATTGTGTGTATCTAGCTTGCAGAAAATTATAAAACCTTTCAAGGTGAAAAGCAATATATACTTTTGAAATATTACACTAACTACTCAAGCATAAATTTCATTTTGGTTTCCAAATTAAAAGGAAGTGTGGTGAAAACCACACACAAAAGAAGTTGTTTGTATATTTGTTTCCCTATAAATCAAATAAGGACCAGATTTATCACCAATGTTGACACTGATGCCACTGGTTTACACAAACAGAAATTGAATAAAGATTCCCAAACTTATAAGGAACATATAAAGTAATCCAACTTCCAAAGTTTCTTTCAAAGAATGAAGCAAAGCTCATTAATACTGGGGAACATACATTGTATTTCATATTAAGTCTGAATGCCAAGCACCTTTTCTCCTTTCCTAATCAAGGCACAACATTATTATGTCAGACAACTGTAAAAAACACATGTTTCACATTCTTAAAGGGAGAAACTTGAAATTACTGATGCAGTGGTAATACTGCAGTCAATTTTCTAGTCAAAGTTCACTGGGAACCCAAGTATAGCAAACCTGAGTTCTTCCCTGCTCAGACTGCTGTTTTTTGAACTCTGACGTTTCTGTCATAAATCAGAGAGAACAGTAAGTTGGGAGAAGCCCCAAAAACTTTTGAAGAGAATGCAAGTATGTCACAGAAATCACACTGCAATTCCAAATGGAAAATTATTCTACCACTTGAGGGAGCTGCGGCATAGCAAACCCGTGGAATCTTTTGAAATATGCATGAGAAACTCTAGCCTTCCAAGAAAAAAGATAAAACAATTACTCGATAAACTTAAGGAGGCTTCACATTTTTAAGGTACATATTTGCCTAATTTTGGCAAAAAAAACTGTGCAGAGTCCATAGATGCTGGGATACAGACAGGAGGGAAAGAGTATATCCCTTATCCAGTTATTGTCCATACACTGCGCTTTGATATTTTTCTTTTAATTTGGAATTTGACCACTTTTCTACCTGATTTAATGCAATTTGACAAATGCTGCTGAGCAAATATTTATAAAATTAACTGAATCGAACTCCGTCAGCACTGTTCTGCTGTGTTGCTAATTCTAAGAGAAGAAACCTGAGAAAGACTTGGTTTTTTTCTTAAGTTATAAAATGAATCATGCATCTTTGTTAAGGTAGAGATATAAGAAAAAGAATGAATGAACGAACGATAGTGTCACAATTTTGTGCAGCAGAAAACAAACATCCTCAACCCTCCCACAACTGCACAGGGCATTTCAGTTTAGCAATGACAGAATCACAGAATGGTTAGGGCTGGAAGGGAGCTTAAAGAACACCTAGTTCCAACCCCTCTGCAACAGGCAGGGAAGCCATTTACTAGACCAGGTTTCTCAGGTGCCACCACCCTCTGAGCAAAGAATTTCTTCCTACATCAAATATAATTTATATATAATCTAATATAAATCTGCCCTCTTTCAATCTAAACCCACTGACATCTGGCCTAGCACTATCTGCCCATATAAAAAGTCCCTTTCCCTCCTTTTTATAAGCACCTTAAAGTACTGGAAGGCCACAGTAAGGCCTCCCCAAAGCCTCCTCTTCTCCAGGCTGACCAACTCCAGCTCTCTCAGCTTCTCTTCATGGGAGAGGTGCTTCAGCTCTCTGACCATCTTTGTGGTCCTTCTTTGGACCTGCTCTATCAAGTCTTTGTTTTTGTGGTGCTGAGGACCCCAGAGCTGGATGAAGCACTCCTGGGGGGTCTCATGAGAGCAAAGTAGGGTGGGAGAATCCCCTCCCTCAACCTGCTGGCTACGCTGCTTTTGATGCAGCCCAGGGTGCCATGGGCCTTCTGGGCCACAAGCGCACACTTTTGGGTCATATCCATCTTTTCATAACCAGGAACTCCCAAGTCCTTCTCTGCAGGGCTGCTCTCAGTGATTTCTTCTCACAGTCCTGTATTCAAGTCTGGGTTTGCCCTGACCCGGGTGCAGCACCTTGCACTGGGACTTGTTGAACCTCATGAGGTGCTCGTGGTGCCCACTCCTCAAGTTTGTCCAGGGCCCCCTGGATGGCATCCTGACCTGCTGTTGTGCCATCTGCACACTTGCTGAGGGTGCACTGATCCCACTGCCCATGTCACTGGTGAAGATTAAAGTCCCATGAGAGTCCTGAGGGACACCACTCATCACCAGCCTCTACCTGGTCACAGAGCCACTGACCACAACTCTCTGTGTCCATCCAGCAAACTCCTTATCCACTGAATATGAATGAGTCCATCCATCAAATTCATATCTCTGCAATCTGGAGATAAGAACGTCATGTGGGACTATAATAAAAGCCTTACAGAAGTCTAGATAGATGACACTGGTTAGTCTTCCCTTGTCAACCCTTGCTGTCACTCCATCATAGAATGCCACCAGATTGGTCATGCGTGACTTGCCATTAGTAAAGCCATGCTGGCTACCTTGAATTACCTTCCTGTCTTTTATGTGCCTTAGAACATCTTCTAGGAGGCTCTTCCTAGGTACAGAGATGAGCCTCACCGGTTTGTAGTTCCCTGAATCTGTTCCCTGGATCTTCCTTTCTCCTCTTTTTAAAAATGGAAGTGATGTTTCCCTTTTTGCAGTCACCAGGGACTTCACCTGACTGCCATGACTTTCCAAATATGCATGAGAACATCTGTTTGAATTCCAAGCGTACACTGAAGGTTACAAGGCTTGTATTTACAATGAGACTCTGTAATGCTGTGCTGATGAGGCACTTTCTTGCCAAATCATTACAAGCTCTCTGACTGCATGGTATAATGAGTCACTTGTCTGTACAAGAATAAATGATGATAATCAATAAAAACCTTGTAAGCCAGTTTGCTTCTAAAAAAACCCCAAACATCGGGCTACCTCAGGTTTAAAATATGGCCATCTTGTAATAATGCCAAGTTGAATCAGAACATTTTTAAACAGTAAAATGACTAAGAGAAAAAACAACAAACAAAACAAAAACAACCAAAAAACCACCCAGCTGTTAAGAGCAAATTAAGTCCCCAGGAAAAACACTGTCCTCTCCAAAGCATTTGGGAAAAATGCTTTGCCTTTGCTTTATACCTAATCTTGTACAAATCCATAGTCCATTTTGTCTTAACCCTGAAAAAACAAGACAAACTCAGAATGCATTCAAGAAAGTGCGTATGAATGTCTTGGAAGAATGAATACCTGCCTTCTTCTTCCTCATCCCAACCTCCATTGTAGGCGAGCTTTTCTTCAAGAAATTCTATGTAATTGGAAAAATATCCAGACTACAGCCCAGACAAGGATCAGAAGTCAAGCACTCCTACACACAACAGTGTGTGCTGGTTTCAGTTGGGGTAGAGCTAATTTCCTTCACAGTGGATGGTATGGGGCTGTGTTCCGGATTTGTGCTAGACACAGGCTGATGACATAGAGAGGTTTTTGTTATTGCTGAGCAGGGCTTACACAGAGCCAAGGCCTTTTCTGCATTTCCTACTGCCACACTGGTGAGGAAGTTGTGGGCGCATGGGAGACTGGGAAGAGACAACCAGGACAGGTGACCCCAACTGACCAAAGGGATGTTCCAGACCATCTGACATCATGCTCAGGATATAAAGTGGGGGGAAGAAGGAAGCGGGAGGGACATTTGGAGTGATGGAGTTTGTCTTCCCAAGTCACTGTCACATGTGGTAGGGCCCTGTTCTCCTGGAGATGGCTGAACATCTGCCTGCCCATGGGAAGCAGTGAATGAATTCCTGGGTTTGCTTTGCTTATGTGTGCAGATTTTACTTTTCCTATTAAACTGTGTTTATCTCAACCCATGAATTTTTTGGGTTTTATCCTTCTGATTGTCTTCCCAATCCCACTGGTGGGGCCATGAGTGAGAGGCTCCCTGAGGCTTGGCTGCTAGCTGGGGCTAAACCATGTCATGGTGGAATAAATGTTCTGCAAACACTGTGTTAAAAAACATCAATGCTATAGCAGAGATGGTGCATAGCACAGTCCTGGGAACACCAGCTTACTCTGGGCAACTCAAATCCCATATAAACAATGAAAATTATCAAATACTATTTTACATTCAAAAGCCTAAGCAGAAATCAGAGAATTCTCACAGCCAGCCTCCAACCCCAAAAACGTTTCTTCATCCTATCTACAGTGGGAGAGCAAATATCAATGATGTCACAATAAACCATTTACTGGAACTTTTATTTCATCTCTGCAAAAATCAGAGCTCTTTCTGCCTCTCCACACCTAAAAAATTCAGAACTAGACAGAAGTTCATCTTCAAAGAATAGCCACATAAATAAAGCTAAGTGAATACAATGAGAACTGAGGCAATACAACAGTGTTATTTCCAGCTGTCCATGACCACTGACACCTCACTGACCAAGAGTCACCTCTCACTCATAGATCCAGAAGCACTGGAGTACACAGTACTAATGTGGAGAAGTAGCTTTGTTCTGTATCTTTTACATCAGTGACTGCTTGAACCACAATACCCTTGCCTAATCTGGAGCTATATTGTCTCAACACTGCATTTCTCTCAGTGAAATTCCCAACAGCTTTCTTCCCAAATTAGCACATCTGAAGAGGAGAGATGGTAGAGTGTATCCCATTCATGTGAAGATGCACAGAGTATCCTCTTTCACAAGGTCAATTTTTAATACTTATTTGGAGTTGCCTCTTCTAGGTGCCCCCCTCTTTTAATTAAAAATTGAATTCTTATATTCTTTAAAAAAAAAAAAGATAAAACAATCAATAGAGCACATAATGAAATTCTCAAGCCTCAGGGATCAACCCCAATGCAGAGCTGTCAGCATATTTTTCTAATAAGATCAAACATGCATGGATTTAATGAGATAGGAAAAGCTGTTGTCCTTACCAGACTGCTTAGACACTGCCTTCATTTGACATAGTATGTAAACCAGAGCTCACAGAAAGGTTCAATATATTACAGCTACACCAGATGAATTAAACCCTGTTCCATGGCAAAAACTAAATGAGAAAATCCTTTACAAATTGAACAGCTACATCTGTTTCAAGTTCCAGGATGCTCCACTGATGTTAGAGAGGATGCACATCCCAGAAGAGACATTACCTTGTTAATAGCTCCTTTTAATAACTTAATTTACAGTTAAACTGATTCACACTGGAAGATATTTTAGCTTTTCCCATATCCCATCTTCCCTAAGCATGTAAATTTTTCTACTGAATGAAGTAGTTAACTACTTGAAACACTGAAAATGTTACAAGTAATGCATTATTCCACTGATATAAAATCTTTATTTTTATTGATATTGTTGACCTTGTTAATAAAATAATTTTAAGGAGTTAAAAAAAAATACTTTTAATAAGTTACAGATTACAAGTGTCAAGTAGATGTATTAGCTAATCTCTTCCACAACTGGACAGATATATAGATTCACAATATATTCTATTACTTTATGATCCAGGGGGCAATAATAAAATGTATATATAGTTCTGAGATATTTTTCATCAACAGTTTTATTGGTAATTATGTATAAATGAAGTGGGTATCTATTTGCTTTAAAATTTGTACCACTTCACAAAAAGAAACATTTGCCTCGTTTTTCTAAGGTACAACCAGATTATTTTTTATTCTAAAATCCATTTCCTAGTTTGGGCACAAGGTCACAGAAATGTTGCATGGAGCTCTCTGGATTTTCAAATTTTCATGACAAAGCCTTGTCAAAGCGGGCAGAGGAATCCCTTTTCTCTCAGCCACTTCAAATTATTTGTCAGTATGAGGTACTAGCTGGGGCTTCAAGCAGGTCAAAAGTCAGGCTTTCGACACACAGGGAACATTTTCTGAACATGAACTCCCATTTTTGGCCTCAAGTGACAATACACAGGAAAATAAGTGTGTTGAGTGGAACTTAAGCAGATGACTCAGACATGACTTAATACAACCTAGCTATAGTAGAGACACAGAGTGTGACATGTATTTTGCACTAATTAACCTGAGCTGCTACAGTAAAGTTTATCATGAGATTCAGGCTTTTGGTGCAGCTGCACACAGTTTTTCACAAACTTACATTTTACAATATTACAATTTTACATTTACTATTATTTTACAATAATTTTTGTGATTATATATTAACAGAGTCTCCCGCAAGCTAAAGAGTACAGCTTATCATCAGCATAAAAAATCCAAGCTTATTAGAAATACGTCTGGTATTTTCCCAATATGTCTCTATCATGAAGAGCAAAACTTAAACTGAGCCAAGCCGAAAATGCTAATATCAATCCTTTAACATCACCTGCCTCAGTATTGAGCCAAAACTTCCCTGTGTGAAAAAGAGCTTTTTGCACTTTGTGAAATTGCTGCTTCTAACATTCATGTTTTTCCAACAGTAGCAGATTTCAGGAAAAAAAATAAAAAAATTGTTGTTAAATCTGACAGACAATGTGAACAGTGTTCCACTATTTTCCACAAGGAATAGGATATAATAAACATTCTTCCTCTATTATAAATATTCTTTCCTCAAGAAACATACCTGGCAAGAGAAATATGATCTAAGCGGATTGGTGTCATCATTTATTAAATAACTGCTTTTATGCAATATAGTTTAGTCTCCTAACTATTCATCTGGATGAATGCAAATGTTCATATTCAAATTTCCAATCACTTCAGACAGCAAACCAGCTAAAAAAAGTTCAGGAAGGCTGTGGCATCTCCAAGTAGAAGCCAGTTTCTTCAACATACTTTAACTGTATTGCCTTATACAGGTAACAGTTACAGTACATTAAATGTGTCAGCGCTCTTTCAACACCACTGGGATTGTATCACTCAGCTGCTCTGCTCCCTCTACTCAATGTCTGTGCACAAGAAATATTCGTAACATTGTCCTCTATCCAAAGACTGGGAAATCATAATTCAAAATTCCCAGAACATTGAGATTGGTTTATACACTATAATATTCTCAGCAGTAAAAAAAATAGGAACTCTTCTGAATTTCTTTTAAAAATGTGAGCCTCAAGTCTTCCCATCCTTCTACTGCAGACAAAATGATTAGGAGTTTATACCTTTTCAAAAAGGAAAGGTTACAGTATTATGCAAAACAAGGCTCCAGCAGCCAGTACTTGGAGAAAAAAATAAATCAGGCTTTTACATATTCTATTATAACTACAAAAGACTGAAAATTCTTTTCTTGTTTACCTATAAAGATGTTACCTTTTATGTTCCTTCTTGGCTTTACAGCTTTCCTCCACTATTTTGTAATATCGTCTTAAATTTCTTGTTCATCTACCCAACGAGAATTAGCACTTTTTAAACCTACAGAAAAGAAGAAAATGTTGTGAGCTGCAGGTTTAACACTGGCTTTTAAATGAGAGATATCATCAAGCTTCCTTATGTGTCCATCTATTTTTCAGTCTCCATAAATACTGTTTATAGCCTCCTGCAGATGTACCTATTTGAAACCTGGACAACCTCAATTTAAACAACACTTTCCTGAGGTGGATCACACCTCCTTCTTTCAACTGAGCTCTGCATTGACACAGAACTCCAACAGAAAAGACTGTCTTGAAGTCAGAAGCCTAAATCAGTTAGTAAAAATGTACTTAAGACATATCCATCCAAAGTACATTTGTTTACTTAACACTTTAGAAAGAAAATATTAATAATTTTGGAGAGAAATAAGCAATTCTTTCTCTTGGAACACATTTCCTTGACAAAATAGCTTTAAGGATTATTCTTATTCATATACAAGGAATTAAATTCTAGCACGCTACAAGGAAAGGTAAATGTTTAGTTTGCTGTGTCTTTTCATGGAAAATTGTGCTGACAAATTCATATAAAAATGGATCATGTAAGTAATAAAAACATGCTTTATGAACTTCTGCAAGCTTTTCATCATTTGTCAGATGAACACTGTCTTTTCATTGCTTTGACATTCATTTTTTTAGTTAAGTCTTGGCTCCATACTATTTTTATTTGTCATTCCATTGCCAGGGCCATACTTAGATTATATATCACTTTGTTGTTGTTTTACAGGTTTTCCACTGAAAAATAATAAAACTTTTTTCCTTTTAAAATAAATCCTCTGTATGCAGGAGAGTACATATGGTCCTGAAAAGGCCATCCATCCTGAATGGACAAAGAGTATGACTTAAATGGTATTTGTAAAATAGTATTTAGTGTCTGCTGACATTCCTTATGCTAAAATATGAAGGAGTGAAAGTACATAGTTTCTTAATACTTTAAAGCCTTGATAAATGACCCATGATGTACTGGTTCAAGCAAGGGGTGAAATACACTTGAAATTAAATGGATTTTTATATATTTAACTATTAAAATAATACTACATTTAAAAGCATGAACTCTAACTTCTTTCTATATTTATGCCAGCATGTCTTATTTCAAGACATCAGTGCTGCCTGGAAACCAATATAACAAATACATAAAGAATTCCCGTAATAGCACCATTACAGATAACCAACCATCCTGCAGCTTCCAAGGTCAGCCTGTTATGTGAGTGGAATTACAGCCACTTTCGGTATAAATCAGAAGTGCAGTTACGGCAGCGGGGAGCAGCAGCCCAGCCGTGTGTATCTGGAAGCAGCTGACATTCACTTGGCGTCGAAGCCAGCCACAGGTGACAACCTGTCCTGGCCGACGTTGGGGTCAGACTCATGCCACCAGCGGCTGAGCATCACCACTGGAACCTCCATCTCAGTCACCAGCCACGCAACCTGAGGGAGATCAGCCTGCAAACCTGCCTGTGTTCACTTGCCAGGAAATGGCTGGGCCAGCGCACACTAATCCAGAATGCCACAGGAACGGTAACTCTGCAGGTTCTTCTCCAAATTCTTCATTAAAACTTCACAAAATAACAGAATTAATTAGATTGGAAAAGATCTCTGAGATCATCAAGTCCAACCTATGCCTGAACACCACCTGTTAACCAGACCATGGCACATCCTCAAACACCTCAAGGGACGGTGACTCCACCACCTCCCTGGGCAGTCCATTCCAGCATCTAATCACCCTGTCGGTGAAGAAATTCTTCCTAATGTCCAACCTAAACCTCCCCCGGCTCTTCACAGGCGTTCCTGCTGCACATCCCCGGACCCGTCTAGCTTAATTCTGACGCACTGCTGTCTTGCTCAGGGGCGAAATGCCGCCCCGCACAGCCGGGGCAGGAGGAAAAGCAGGCACGGCCCTACCTACCAAACCCCCGCTTCTCAGGGCGCTGTTCCCGCGGTTCCCCGTTCTCCTCGGTCCCGAGGGCCAGCTGGGGCGTGCACCGAGTTGAATGAAGGGCGAACCAGGGCTGGGAGCAGCTGGGCGGTTCGTGCCTCCTGCGACTTTCCCCCGACCTCACCGCCAGCGCCAAGGCAAGGGCGGCGGCTCCTCAGGCACTACTGAAGCGGGGAAGCCGCACTCCAGCTGACCCCGGCTAAACACAGCGCTGCTCCCGCACGCCCCGTGCCCTGGCAGCCGGGCCGGCGCCCTCACCTCCGCAGCGGGGCCCGACATGGCGGCGCCCGCCCGCTCCCTGCTCCGCCGCCATCTCCGCGCGGCCCAGGCCCAGGCGGCTGCGCGCTGGCCCCGCCGCTGCCGGGGCTCTGCCGGGCGCCGGGCTCGGCCAGCCCCGCTGCGGCCGCGGGGTGTTCCCGGAAAGAGAAACCGCGTCCCGTTGTGCCAGAAATAGCGTGGCCAGCAGGACCAGAGAAGCGATTCTCTCCCTGTACTCGGCACCGCTGAGGCCACCGCTGTGCCCGATTCTGGGCGCCTCACTCCGGGGAGGACACTGAGGTGCTGGAGCGTGTCCAGAGAAGGGCGGCGGAGCTGGTGGAGGGTTGGGAGCAGACGCCCTATGAACAGCGGCCGGGATAGCGGAGCTTGTTTAGCCGGGAGAAAAGGAGGCTTAGGGGTGACCTTATCACTCTCTACAGCCACCTGACAGGAGATGGTAGCCAGCTGTGGGTCGGCCTCTTCTCCCACGCAACTAGTGACAGGATGAGAGGATATAGCCTTAAATTGTGCCGGCAGAGGTTTAGATTGGGCATTAGGAAGAATTTCTTCACAAAAAGAGTGATTCGATGCTGGAATGGACTGGTGGCAGGTTCACCATCCCTGGAGGTGTTTAAGGAAAGTCTGGATGTGGCACTCAGTGCCATGGTCTGGTTGATAGGGTGGTGTTGGGTCAGAGGTTGGCATTGATGATCTCGAAGGTCTTTTTCCAAGCTAACTGATCCCGTGATTCTGCTGTTGGATGACCATGGCAGGTGTATTCACTGTGGGCTCCTGTGCTGTCCTGGGGCTGCCACGGGGTGAATGCACTCCCGAGAGGGCAGCAGCCATGGAAATAACTTGCTCTCCTATGCAGCCTCAGGTGTGAGGGCTCAGTTTTCACTGAGGCTGTTTTGGGCATGGATCTGGCACATGACGTGGCTGTAGGGTGAAAGGGACACCATGATGCCCCATGGCCTCTGTGCAGGGCATGGCCTTCCTTTGGTATCTGTCTGTGTGGCTGAGGGAGCCCTACCAATGCTCCTCTCAGCCCTAAGATGAATTAAAATAGATGACATTCATGGGATTTTAACTTTAACCTCAGTCATGATATGGTCCTTCTCTGGCAAACATAGCTTGGAAAGGCAGTGTGGCACACAAGGTAAATGAGTATCAGACCTAAGGCTAACAGAGAGCAAAGAAAAACCATTGTAAAACTTCTTGTTTTCAACATGGTACTGTGTTACTTTTGGTATAACCAACTAGTCTTTTGGATGCTAAATGGAGCTATTGGTATACACAGAGTTAAAGAAAAGAAATATAAAAATTTCACAGGGTGACAGCTTTTGGATATGATGAAGTCTGCTGGACATGTCTGATTATGCAGTTGTCTCGGTTCTAGAAGACGTGTCTGCTAGAGAGAGCAGGAGCTTCCCTTGGGATGAAAGAATGTAGACCCCCCCTCCCTCCGAATTATTATAATTTTGAAATCAAGGGGCTTTCAGGCAGAGATCTGGGGATAGGAATAACAGTTCTTTACTAGTATAACCAGGCAAACAAACAACAATAACTACAGCATTAACAAGAAAACAGAACCAGGGACCCCGTGACAGCTTTCTCGGCTGAGACGGGATGGAGGAGAGGCTTTGTTTTCACAAACCCCTCGGGCAGTCAGTCCCGGTGCTCCTGCAGGGCTCCGAGGAACAGTCGGCTGGAACAGCAGGGATGAGCTGAGATCCTGGGCTGGTGGCTGAGGTGTATCAGCAGGGATGAGCTGAGATCCTGGGCTGGTGGATGAGGTGTATCAGCAGGGATGAGCTGAGATCCTGGGCTGGTGGATGAGGTGGTATGATTTTTTGATACATGTTTTTGGTTTTATTCTCTAATGAGGTCTTTGTTGCCCTATGCTGTAATCTGATTTTACCTACCTGAAGGTGCCAAATATGTTTTTGCAAGAACATAATGTACTGCAGACCTCTTTTTCCTTATTTTGACATAATGAACATCGCCATTACTAACCACACAGGGAAAAAAAAGCTTTGCATTGTTGTATAGGATGTAAAAAAAGACTAGATAAGTAATTTATTAAATTACTGTAGTGAACCAGTTTATCAGTGCTCATCACTGAGTGATCTCAAACCTTTCCTTGCTAGTGCTGCAGTGGTTGCATCATACATGATTGCTAATGCTGTTCAATTCTTCACTCACTCAGTTTGTGCCAAACTCATGAATTTATCAGTGATTGAATATGTGATACAATGATTAGCCCTGAGTAGCTGAAGGCCACAGTTGAAATCAGGCTTCCTTTTTCCCTTGTCTTTGCGTGTCACATGGCAAAAAAGTGTGTGACAAAAAGTATGCCAAAGAGTTTTATGAAACAAGAGATCAAGAATTTGAAGCATGACTGTCCAGAAGTGGCACAGTAACATACTAGCAGAACAGGATCAGAACCTTCCATGTTCAAATGTGGCATGTCATCCAGTGGCCTGTGTTACATATTTTGAAGTATTTCTGCAGCCTACATATGTCAGGAATTTAGCACCAGCTCCCATTGCTATATCCAGGAGTTCAGTTTTGTTTCAGTTTGTCACTCCAAGGCTTTAAATGCCAGTTTTTCTTAGTCTTTTTGTACCTGTGTCATTGTGAGAACAGTTCATACTGGATTCCTTTTGTGCTCAGCAGAAAGTGCCTTGCCTACTACAGAGGCATAGAGTTCCTTTGCCAGGAAATCAGAAAAGGAGCATGGTTTTTTCCTTGTGATTAGCCCTCCTTTGAGACAGGATCAAAACTGAGGATGCCCCTCCTGGTTTCTCACTCAAAGGACTATTAATGGAATCTCCATCAAATTGTCTTTGATCTAATGAATAAGAGATTATTATTCCAATTTCCCATTTATAGAACTGATGCAATAATGCTTTCTCAATTACCTCCAAAGTAAAGCAAATCTAAAAAAATATGATTGAAATTTTGCACTCTTTAAATTCATACATATATGTATACCTGTGTAATGATATAGGTGTATGTCTTTGTGTTTGTATGGTTTTCCAGGATAATATCAGTGCTACTCTAATGGTGATAACTTCCTTGAAACTTCAGTATTGGCTGTGATAAGTATCTGCATTTCTAGAAACATAGGCTTCTATTCAACAGATGGAGATATTCTGCCAGCTGATAAAGTATTGAGTATCCAGAGAACTATTTGGAAAAATGTTGGTTCATCATAAGGTTCCTGCACAGAATAGTATGTGCTTCAAATAAGCCTCTAATTTGGGGGATTTTTCCTAAAACAATTGTTCTTTTTAAAGAAAACAAACAAACGAAAAACAACCCCAAATTAATGGATATTATTTATTCATAAAATTATTTTTTATATTTTCACTTTATTTTTAAAATTGTGTCCTATCTTAATGTCATAATAGGACCTCTGACATTCATTTCATGGTCCACCACTGTAATTCTTCCTGGAGAGCTTTCTTCAGTTTAATGTTTCTTTGTTTAAAGGTTATCCTGTCAATAAGTCTGAATTTGTATTGATTTTAGAGTTCTTGGGGAAAAAAAGCCAAAATTTAGAACTGCAATTCTGTTCTTGAAAAGGCTCCCTACCTTTCTATTAGCAAATGCGGAAAAAATCCCCAAACCATAATATGAACCATGAAGCAAAGCATTATAATGAAATAAAATGAAATTAAATAGGGACCAAAGTGTTTTGAACAGTCATCTCCCTCCATCCTTAATGATATGTGGAAGGGAATCCTATATAAATGTCATATTCAAAGACTGAAAATCCAAGAACTGGTGGACACTTTGGGACTTAGACTTTCAGTCACAGCATTTGAAGTGTGTTGATTGACACAAAGAGTGACTTTGTGAGTGGCTGTTCATTTCAAGAGTCACTTTCACATTTTTAGGCTCTGATCCAGTTCTGAGAGGGAGGTGGATGAGGCCCTGGATTTCCTTAGGCTGGCATTGAGCTGATGCTGTTTCTGGTGAGATGAGATAAAGCCTCCAGCACGGAGCAGTGGATGAGCTTGGCAGTAATGCTGCTCAGCTCTCCTGATATGGCTGTCCATGCTGTTTATTTCCATGTCTTGAGATTGCTGTGCATTTTCTGTAACACTGGAACGTGCTGAATTTAGGATTATGAGGATGATGCACATAAAGTTAACTGGGTAGTGTTGATGAGAGATATTTCCCATGTGTTTCCTGGCTCTTCCTCCTGGTATGAATTCTAGTATATGGTGGGGGTATCATACCATCTGGAAGACCTGAAATTGAATTGCCAGGAGGATTATGAAGAAATTCTGCCGGAGACAGTGGAGTGTTATGAAGCCTTCTGAGTAACTTGATTAGTTAAGCACTGAAGAATACTTCACTTGAGGGAAATTGAGATAAGCAGCTGCCTCTCTGTGCCTCCTTTTCTTCTATGTGTTGGCAGTGAACCAGTCTGGTGTTGGTGAGCCAAATATGAATTTGCTGTGGCAGCCCTGGGGTTGTTTATATACACACAGTGCTCTTGAAATAGTTACTGGATGTTAAAGAAAGCTCACAAACTGTAATGATGACCATTGGCTCTCCTCCTGAAGGAACCAGCAAGTAGCTCAGCTACAAAGTGATCCTGTGTTCCACCACTACAGGACTTGGTGGTCTGCAATGCCAGTACAGGAAATATGGGGAAAATATACTGTATCTTTTTCAGTGCAAGTGAGTTTCCAGAAGAAAATATAGTCATTCTCAGATCATTTTCCTTAGAGGTATTAGCTAATTTGGAGCCGCTGACTATACAGATATAAA